ATAGAAAACCGGAAATGGCTATAAAATAAAAATTGCACTTTTTTTTTCTTTTATTTACAGATAGACATTATACTTCTTAATATTTGTACAAAATCCTAGATTGGGACTAGTACTGGGCCAAAAGTTATTACACTTTAAATATAAGTAGTATGGCTTAAATCCTATATTATACCAAATGTATAGTAATTTACGAAACAAATAAAAAGAAAATTCGCTTGGGATCGGGCCGGATATATTTTTTTATAAATCTTTCTGGCCGTGTTAGAAAAATTAGGCCCTATGCTGATCACTAGTAGACATTAATCATTATAATGGTTGTAGAGGTTTGCAAATTTTTTTTGTTACTAATATAAATATTTTCCCTGCCTATATTATATTATTCAGATTGTATATGGCATCGCTATGTTTGTCATCACTGCAACATGTCATCGTTAAATATTTATTTATTTCTAAATATTTGTGCAAATAATTTATTTTAATAACATGCGTATATAATTTATATCTCGTTAATTTATTAAAGATTACAAAGTAGACATTACAAATAAAAACAGCATAGGCATAACTATTTCTTATGAATGATTGGCAACATAGACAAATGGATGTCATCCTTAATTTTTTTACATTTATACAAAAAAGCAATAACCCGTCAAGAATGACAGGTGGATCAAATTATTTTCTCATTTATTTGATGATAGATGAATCAGAAATTTTCAGATATGAGTTACAAATTTATTTTATTTTATTGTCAGATAAATAGTGTTATTAAAAAACCCGATTAGGTTTTTAACCAAAATAATATTGCATAAGCCAGATAGATGGCAGAAAGGTTTAAGCTTCTACTTACCAAATCGAGGTTTACACAATATTATTTTGAGCTAAAATCTTAATTGAACCGTTTTGACACATCGGTCTTTATAACAACATTAAAGAAGTATACGAAATTTATTTATGAAATTTGTTGATTAATTATATATTTAGTATCTTCAATATGAAAAAACAATTAAAAATATTTAATAAGCTAATTTTAAATAGTTTTAGTAAAATCTAAAAAAATGTCTTATTAATTAATATACTAATATGTTTCAATTTTCCCCAGAAAATTATAATTTAGTGATTAATTATCCATTTATTCCATGTTTTCCATACTTTTTTTGATAGAATAAATAGCTTAAAATTACAAATAAATTATAGTAGTAGAAACAATTATATCTTTATATACCTTTGGTTATTTATTTTTCAATATCACTTATTATGGGATTAAAAATTAACTTATCATGAGATTTAAAAAAGAGAGGTAATAAAAAGTTTTTATATTCATGGCCGTGACTGCTATTAACGCCCGTGATATTTAGTGAAAAAATAAATATCACACCTGCGATATTTAGTGAAGAAAATACTAAATATCACACCCTCGTTTATAAAAGCTCAAAACTGATATACCCTTATATTTAAAAGATGTGTTTAATTCTTCCATATTTTATTAATTATAATTTTTATTTACTTGTGAAAATCTACCAAGGTAATATTTTATATTAATAATCTAAAAGTATTTTTTATTGATCTTAAGGAGAAGATGAGCTTAGCCATATTTTCAAATATCAATATCATTCAAAATAATTTTATCTGAATTCTGCAAAGGAAATTAAAATAATTTTAGCTGAATTCTGCAAATGAAAAATGATAGCCCAGCCCAATTTTAAAAATCAAGCATGGTCCAGATCTGTAATTCTAATATTTCAAATAAAACTAAGATGACATCAATTTAGGAAGCTTGGAAGGATTAGGAAATAACTAATATAAAGTAAAGATACACACTTTTTAAAGGTTACAATGACATTCAAGAAGAGCTACTTATTAACCTAGGCTTATAAAATTGAAAGAGTTACATATGCACGACACAATCACCTATACCAAACAATTCAAATTGAAAAACTAAAAAATATGAATATGGGTTTATAAATGCAATAAATAATTTTTGATTATGCCCATTAATTGTAACCATATTTAATATGAAAAATATAAATAAAAAAGGTTCCTAAAAATACATACATTAGTTTTATATGGTAAATTTTTTGATGAATTTTGACATAAATTTATTTTTAGTTTTATCATCTGCAAATTAAAAAATAATTTGAACCCAAGTTTTTTTTAAAACACCCTAATATTTAATCAAAAAATATTAATTTATAAAACTTTAATTTCCTTATAATAATCTCAAAGACTCTATTTTTTTTTATTAAATGAGAATTAAATTTTTTTTTTATATTTATCTGGTTTCTTAGATTTTAAGCCTCCTGCAACTTCTAAGGCATTAATTTGTTTTTTTTGTTCAAATTTTATTTATGATATATTGATAAATACAGATATTTACATTTAATAATTATGACCAATAGTCAAAACTGATAATTAATCTTCTAAAATTTAAAAATATATTATTCTAACTGATAAGAAAATTTTTCTTTACTTTTCATAAAATAATTTTAGATGATTAATATAGAAAAAATACTTAATCCTTTATAGCATGTAGGGGGGGGGGGTATATATACTCTAGTTGTATAAAAAATGTTATTACCTATTTTTTTGCATTGATCTTTTAGCTTAATATTTGTAGGCAGCGTCTACATGACAGGATTTTCACTGGATGCAAACCCCCTTCAAAAACCTTTGCCTACCCCCCTAAAAAATTCCCTTACCTATTTATTTATTGATACTCTTTTCAAAGATAAAGGATAACTTAAATTAATCTATCTCTACTACCAACTATCGATATTTTATGAATATAAAGAATTTATTTTTTAGATAATAAATTCAATTAAAACCTCCATTATTTACAATGAATTTATTATTATGGCATTATGAGCTGGCTGATATATCTAAACCATTTAAATTACATTTAAAAGGATATTTTATTTGGAAAACAATGTGTATGATTATTTGCAATATATAGATTTGGTCGATGAATTGTATTATAATAATACTATAATAAAAGTATTAATTTTTACAGCAATAAATTTTGTCCTATTTCATCTCAAAATTTAATAGATTACCCCCCAAAAAATTTATCCTACCCTCATTAAAGAAGCTTACCCCATACCCCCTCAAAAAAATAGGATGCAAACTGTTCTTACCCCTCCCGCTCATGTAGACGCTGTTTGTAGGTAAAGTATATATCTGCAAAATAATTTTTAATTTTGTTTTATTATTTAGCAGTTATAATGGTTTTTTGGAGCTTAGGATTGCATAGACCCACCTAATCATGCCCATTATATGGGTTTTCTATCTGATTTGAAAAGTTAAACAATAATTTATTTTAATAAACAGTTATTGAAATGAATTGATAATATATTATTTACTTGATAAAAATAGACTACAAATATACTTTTATGTACAAATACAATTAGTTAGCTAGATACTACTTTTTATTAAAATATAAAAAATGCCCCAGGCATATATGTTTATAAATGAATTGATAATATATTATTTACAGGATAAAACTATACTATAACGATAATTTAAATTTTTTATATATATACAACCAATAAATTTATTTATTTCAGGATTAATAAATAATGGATGAAATAAAAGCCATTTATCATTTAAAAAAACAAAGATATTTATTTGGAGCAATGTAGCAGGACAGGATATCTCAATATTTGTAGCCCTGTGCCATTGCAACCCATTTTGTTTTTCACAATGTAATCCATTGTATTATCCCCTATGAATCAGCTAAAGAAGTTGATGTTTTTCTTGAAGCATAAAAGATATCAGAACACTCTTGATCATTTCATGATGTTTCACATCATTGCTGATTTCCTTGCTAAGACATCTATAATAATATTTAGAATAGATTCTATAATATGTTAATAATAAAATACCTGAAAAACAGCTTCCATTACTTATAATTGGATAAACTTTATCTACCTCATCTTGGTGTCAACAGACTTTATACAATAATGATAAAAATTTAGTTCATTTCATCACTTAATGTAGAATTAAAGGTTCTCATCATGAAGTAAGATATTTGTGTAATATATTATAAAATCTATTAACTAAGCCAGAAATTAGCTTAATTTATAACATTTGGACTGAATTCAACTGAAAAAGTATTTAGAATAGCATAAAATATCTTCATGTCATGTTTAATTATTAGATTAAAAAAAAATTGTTTATCTTTGTACTTTCTGATTATGCCTTCCATAGCAGCAAATTTATGGAAGTAGAAAAGTGGAATCAAAAAATATTTTGCTTTAACCAGTGAATACCTATTATTCAAATTTGAATGCTGGGTTAATTAAGAAACACTACCCAGAGAATATTTAAATTTAATATATAAAAAATATATATTGCGAATTGGTTAATTATTGAAATATAAACATAATGTATAATTCAATTACTTTAAAAATAGAATTTTTTATAAAATGGATGATTTTAAATATCGCGGGCACATGGTGTTAAACTTATAATAAACGAGACGAGGGTGTGATATTTAGTATTTTCACTAAATATCGCAGGTGTGATATTTAGTTTTTTCACTAAATATCACGGGCGTTAGTAGCAGTCATGGCCTATATTCATCCAATTTTTTCAGAATTTTTAAATATCTTTCTATATTCAAGAACCTGTGAGATTGGCATGTTATCAAATGGTAATGACAGATGCTAGATTTTATAAAAACCAATTTATTAATTATTCCGAATAATTCAAATTTTTCTTTTTATTCAGATCAATAAATGATCGGATAAAACAAATAAATTATTATTCGTATTCCTCATGATACTCTTTTGAATAGGTCTAATCCCAATTGGGCATATATACAATTTAAAGTTTTAAGTTATTCTTATAAAAATAAAGAAATTCCTTGAAATTACTTATCTTATCAACGCTAATGATGCTATTCTATTATGATAAGCTCCGAATAAGGTTTTAAGGTTTATAACAATTAAAATAAAATATATTAATATGGGGAAAGCGGTACATTTGTTAACGCATTTGATAAAATTTGTAAAATTGTACCGCTACATTTATATTTTTCTAAATAAGTAATAAGTTTAAGCAATTTTATGGCTGGAAGTAAAGCCCTCATTAAATTAACTATTAAAACTCCTAAAGAGCAAAAAGATGTTCATATTAAAAAAGATGCAACTATTGAGGAGGTTTTTCATAAATAATTGTATTTTATATCAAATGACATTTAGTTAAAAAAGGAAGTATCTAAACAATTTAACGCACCACCTGAGCAGTTATGTATGGTATTTGCTGGTAAGATATTAAAAGATAATCAAAATCTTACAGATTTAAGTAAATTTATATATTATATATTCTCAAAATTATTTATTTTAGATATTAAAGATGGATTGACAATCCACATGGTAGTTAGGATACCATACACAGTAATTAATTTATAATTGAACATATTTATATATCATTTAGCCTATTGAACCTACAACACAAATGCTGAATACAGTAAAATTGCATAACATGTTATTAATTTATATATATTGTTTTAGCAAAATGAAAATAATCTTAATCCTAACATAAATTTAACACCATTTGATTTGGGCAGTATTGGTGGAATACCTGGACTTGGAAACTTAAATTTAGGATCATGTAAATTTATATGATAAAAATTTAAACTACTATTAAAAATAAAATGCCCCATATTCCTATTTTATATCAACAAATATTTTTACCAGTGAATATAGAGCCCTGCAAGGTAGCCCAAAGCTCAACTTATGCTGAGCTTTGGCCTTAAAAATAAATAATAAAATGGTTAGCTTCTTTTATTAAGATGAAATGATCAAATATCTCTGGAATTTGGATAAATAAATTAGGAATTTTTTTTAAGATTTAAAAATTTTAGGATGACTTAGGCCTACAATAAAATTTAGGCCTGGATCATGCTTAATAAATTAAAAATTTGGTTGGGGTTCAGGCCTATACATTTTGAAATAGGCTCTAGCCCAAAAGAATCATTTTTCATTGTAGTTAATGATGAATTAATCTGTTGTCTTTAAAATTAAATTTGTTTCAATAATTTCTAGCTAATCTTTCTGACTTGCAACAAAGGATGCAACAAGAAGTAAATTATTATATTTATATTTCATCATTTTTATTATATATCATAATTGTCACAAAAATATAATTTTTAACAGGATTACTTTAATTCAGAGCTTTGAATTGGGTTTTATGAGCATTTTTTTGAACCTAAACTTATTTTCTGAAAATCCCAATGGGACACAAAATTTAAAAAAACAGGTTTCCCATTTTATAATATGTTTTAGCAGAAACTGCCTTTAACCAATTTTGGTTCAAAATTTTGTTTTGATTCCAAAGACTAAAAATTATATTTGTTTAAACCTTATTTATTACTAACTTCTATAGTTGCTTGCCACATGAATTTTTCACTTATTATAATAATTATAAGAAAGCAATTAATTAATGATTCTGAATCAAACATATAAGTGTTAGAATTTTAAAAGTTGGCAATCCCAATTAGGGATTTAATCTTTTCAAAAAGTTTGCTGATTCAGTTTTTTAAGCAATCACACTTTTCTGGGGTGACTTCTTTTTTAGATATATTCTTAAAAAAAGGCATTCTTGATGTGCTACTCATTTTTTCGAAAACACTGGGAGGATATATTTTAAAAATCGGAAAAGGGAGTTGGAGCTAGCTCCTTTTTGGGATAGAGTGAATGAGAAACACTCCTCCATTCCTTTGATTTTATTGCATAAAGGTTCAAACAATAATCTCAATATTAAATGTATTTTGTTGAATGATAAAATAATGTATATTTATTCAAATTTATGAAACTATTTATTTATTAAATGTTGAGCTTAGTTGTTATTTATATAATTTTTTATTTTTTTTTTCAAATCATAAAACATTGGAAGACGATATAGTTATATGATTGAATATACTTAGTTGGATGAAATATAATTTCCATTTCTATCTTACATTATATATTTTTCTCTTCTAAAAGATGTAGATCTTTGTGATCTTATTGAAACAACTTTCTTGGGTGTAACAGCTTATTGGATCAACACAAAATCATTGCAACAAAAATCTGCAGCCTTACCCTTAACATGGCCCAGATTATAATTGATATACATAGTAGTTTTAAAATTTAGAATAAGGTAATCATTGTTATAAAATGGTAGAAACTTTATGAAGGTTTTTAGGTTATTCTAAATTAGTCATTTTAAAGTTATATATAATTTTATTTTTTAGAATAAGGATAGTCCTAAAATAAATATCTGGACTAACAGAGTAGGAAGCTCAGATTTTCTACCATGACATTCAAGATATACCTGTCACAATATTAATTTAGTTATCACATTTAAATAGGAGAAAGCTTTAGAAAATTTAAGTTTCAAATTATGCTTACATTAATGTCAATCATTATGGAATAAAAACATATATATACTAATATAGCCACCAATATAAGTAAAAATTGATATCACATATTATGAACCCATGGTATTGTTTAATAAAATATATAGCAAAAAATTGCAAGATCTTGATTATTTATGTGATAACATTATGCTTATTGGCTTTACTCAGGAATATAAATTTAGTAAAGAATATAGCAAAATAAACATAAATATAATCATTAATTTTTCAAAATAAATAAATTTCAAATTATTGAGCCTTTAGCAAAAACCTAGATCCTTGAAGGTGGGCTTCATCGATATGGGTTTTTCAAACTATTTATAGACTCATTTCGAATTAAATAATTTTGTAGATTTGAATAATCACCAACCACTTGTAGATTCTCTTATACTTGGCATTAATAAAAGGTTTTATAATTTGACAAAAATAAATTATATATTTTTAAATAATTGCAGATTTTCCAGTGTTTATGATTATATTTTAAGAGATCAAAATAGGCAAGTAGAAAATAAAATTGATTAATTATAAAGGATACAAATTCTAGACATAAATAACCTACTATCACACCAAAAATGCCTTTTTGAAAGATTTTTTGGAATTAAACAAATAGATTATCAGGAAGAAAATAGACTAGACAAATATTTTTTTTAACAAATAATACTACAATGAATATATTTGATAATTATAGTGATTTAAAAAATATTTATATAAAATATAATGCCCCTCTTCCTTCTAGTGCACCTGTTGAGTGCTTCTTTAGTATTGGTTAGGTTTTAGGGGAGAGGTATGGTTGTTTATCATATTCAAATTTAGAAATTTACCACTGTTTACAGCAAATAAAAGATTATAACTTTTTTGAGGCATTATTTTCTTTGCATAAAATATATATATAGTGTAGTTAAACAGCTCGATTTTTAAAAAGGGCTAACCCAATATTTTAGCCAAAAAATATTACATAACCTAAGATTTTTCTCATAGATGACAGAAAGGTTTAGATATTTTTAACAAAATCTTGAAGCTTGTATAATATTATTTTGGCTGAATTCTTTATTTAAAATTGGCTAAATCAATCCATTTAACAACACTAGTTTTGTGTACTTTATATTATAAAAAATTAAAGGAGTAGTGGCACTTTTAAAAAAAATGGGAGTTAGCTCTTTTTAAAAACTCAGTAGCATGGACTGGAGCTATCTTTTAAATTGGCAGGAGGAACCTAGCTCTTTTTAAAAATGAGCATTAACAACTGTTATATTTATTCTTTTCTTAATTGGTTCCATTTAACCCTCTATTGCGCGACATATCAATAAATGATATAATTTTTAAATAAAACTTTTCTTTGTCTTTAAAGAGCCCTTAAACTAAAAATAATTAAAAATTATTTTTTAACCCTTTAGGTTCCATCATAAAATTAATATGATACAACACGATATTTAGTAATTTTTTTTATTGATTCTAGTATAATATAATATAAAACACACAAAAAAAGTTTTTTAAATTCAAAATGGCAGCTCTCCTTGGTGGTTTTATATTCATATCATTGACATCTTATGGAAACTTTCGAAACAGTTTCTATTTTTATTTAGACATAGTGGTACGTTGCATGATTTGCACGACCACCTTGTTATTCTGGGATTTAACTTTGTACTACAGAAGGTACACCTTCGTGAGGTTCCTGCCTGAGGTTGATGAGCTGAGTTTTTTAGTCTAATTTCTGGAAGGATATAAGGTTTATTATTTTTTCTTTGCATTGATATATAATTATTATCATTATGAATATTATCATCCCTATTAACATTTTTACAGTATGCCAATTCGCTAGCAATTATTTGTCTTCGGAATTCTTTCGATGAGAGTTTATTATCTGTAAGAATATTGTATATTATGAATGAATTGATAATCGCCGCATCTATCAGCCAAAAGAATATTGGTAGCCACCATTTTCGCCACTTTCGCGAAATTTCATATAAAGACCTTAAATGGTCGAAATGGTCAACATACCCCATATATTTATTATACATCTTTATCATTATTGGACATTTTACGTCAAATACTTCCCCTTTTTTATTTTTTCTCTTCACAGTATCCACTGATCTCGGATCAATATAATCGGACATTATAAATACGTCACGATTATCTCGCCATTTAATTATACTTATATTATTTTTGTCACTTCTCCAGTCAAACTCACCTCTTTTTAATTTTGTTTCCATATTCTTTATGGGCAAGTATCTCTTATTTTTGTTTAGTGTTCCGGTAGCATATATACCTTTCTTTTTTAAATCGGCCATTAGAGTATAACTCGTAAAATAATTATCGAAAAATATTTTATGATTTTGAAGTCCTTCACAAAACTTTGTTACAACATTATAACCAAGATTACTTTCAACCTCTTTATTTTTCCCAACATAGATATTAAAATCATTCATATATCCTGAATTATCGCATCTCATCCAAACCTAAAAATATAGATTAGCCGAAATAAATAATGACAAAATTTACACATTACCTTGAAACCGCGTTTCGTGGGTTTCTTAGGCATGTATTGCCTAAATCCTATACGGCCTTTGAACCTAATCATTCCTTCGTCAATTGCTTGATATTCCGAGGGAAGAAAATATTTCAAGCAAGAGGAACGGATATTATCAATGAATGGTCTTATTTTGTATAATTTTCATCATTTCTCTATGGTTCTAAGATATTGTCATTTATATGGATGTGGGCCATAAGCCAAATAAACTTTCATTATGGATGAAACAAAATTGTCATGGAATTCTGGTTTAGAACTCCAATAATCTTTCTAATTTGCCATAGTTTTAATTCCAAAGAGTATATGAAGACTCTTATTTCTGTAGGAATAGTTGGTTGATATTTAATATTTTTTTGTTGGGCATATAAATTGGTATTGAATGTAATTGTATTTATTAGAGAATCATTAATAAATTTCTTATATATATCTGATGGATACAATGGGTCCGTTTTTAAAGATGATATTGGACCTGATATTTTATCAAATTCTAATGCTGGTTGTGAAGAATATTTCTTGGACCAGATAGGATTATTATGGTTTGTAGCAGATTGATCATACGCATCTTGTTCAGAATTGTCATTGTCATCAATTTCAATTTGATAAGGTGTATCCGATTCATAATCATCACTATCAATTTGGTAACGTGTATCCGATTCATAATCATCTTCGGAATCAGTGGATGAGTTGTCTAACGAAGAACCTTCAGATGGAATGTCCAGATAATCATCCATATATATAACAAGCTAAAATTATTGCGAAATGAGTTGGCAAAATTCAATTATTTAAAAAAATAAATATTAAAAATATTGTTGTTAAGTGGCAGTGGTTAGTTTAATATACCACATTAAAAAGATCAAAATAATATATAAATATTATTTATTTGAGCAAAAATAAATATTAGAAAGATAGATAAAATAGTGAGGAATATATATTTAAAAATATATAATTAAAATTGGAATTTTAAGAAAAATCACCGTAAAAAACGTATTTTGAAATAAAGGCGCGAAAAAAAAATTAAAAAATAACTCCTCCACAAACATATGAAAAAGAATATCTTTTAATATATATTCGTGGTGGTTTCATTTTATATGATCAACTCCTTTAGAAGATATAAAGGTTAAAAGGTGGTTTTATATTTGCACTACCGTGACCGAAAGGGTTA